CTCCAGAGTGCCGCCCTTCGGGCGCGCTCCCCGCGCCAGGGAGAGGGGGGGAGGGCAGCGCGGGTCCAGGACATCCGGGCGGGCCTCTGAGCTCTCCTGTAAGTGCCGCTCTGTTGCTCCCCTCGAGGCGGCGGACGAGCTCGAGGTGAGCCGCCTGCAGCTGCTGAACCTCTCCAAGGTCGACGTCGCCGAGCTCAAGGCGGGGTGACTGATCCTCAGAGCGTGTGTTAGCCCAGTGAATGAGCGCGCATTTGCGTCTGTGTGTGTGTGTGTGTGTGTGTGTGTGTGTGTGCGCGTGTGCGTGTGCGTGTGCGTGTGCGTGTGTGTGTGTGTGTGTGTGTGTGTGTGTGTGGTGTGTGTGTGTGTGTGTGTGCGTGCGTGCGTGCGTGCGTGCGTGCGTGCGTGCGTGCGTGCGTGTGTGTGTGTGTGTGTGTGTGTGTGTGTGTGTGTCTGTCTGTCTGTCTGTCTGTCTGTCTGTCTGTCTGTCTGTCTGTCTGTCTGTCTATCTGTCTGTGTGTCTGTCTGTCTGTCTGTCTGTCTGTCTGTCTGTCTGTCTGTGTGTGTGTGTGTGTGTGTGTGTGTGTGTGTGTGTGTGTGTGTGTGTGTGGGGTGTCTGGCCCCATCGCCAGCGCAGTGGCTCTGCCTAGCCGCCGACGGAAAAGTGTGTGTGTGTGTGAGTGTGTGTGTGAGTGTGTGTGTGTGTGTGTTTGTGTGTGCTCGCGCGCGCGCACGTGTTTTTGCCTCGTTCAGATCCACCGAAGGCTCGTGGCAGGTGTCGGGCCTCATTACGTTGCCTGCGTGGCATCGAAGGCCTTCGGTGGACAGGCACATGCTGGCGCCAGCACACGTTCTGAGGATCATGGAGAGGCGACCCTGCGGCAGCGGTGCCCAGCGGGGGCCGAGCCGCTTGAGCCGCACCCCGCGCTGGCGCTCCTCGAGCTGTGCTGCGTGGCCCAGCGCGTGTCCACGCGGCCTTCGCGTGAGGACGTGCGCGGCGCCGTTGGCGACCCGCTCTTCGCCACGCGACTGGCGGCGGTGGACAAGGATCTGCGGACGACGCGCGTGTGCACCGTACCGCGTCTTGGCGTCTCGTTGTTGGACGTTTTTTGGTTGGCTCTTGGAGCTTTCCTCCTCCTGTCCCTCCTTGTTCTCGTCCTCCCCTTCCTCGTCCTCGTCCTCTTTCCTCTCCGGCGTAGTCAGTTGTTTTTTGAATAGCGTTATCGGGAGGCGCGGTGAAGCCGAACACCCGCCGTCCGCTGCAACTCCCTGATTGCACATGTACCTGCTGGACATACGGCGCATTTTTCTTCTTCTTCGTCTTGGAGGTTTTCTCGCCTCGGGATGTTCTCCAGCAGCTGCGCCTCGCCGAGAGCTCTCTGGGGGTGCTCCGATCGTCCCTTACGATTGTCAGAGACCCGACTTGTGACCCAACAGCGACCAGGCCCGATCCGCGGACGCTCTGTGTACATCCAGGCCTTCCAATTGGGGTCCAAGTAGATGAGATCAGAGGACCGCGCCGCATCGCCGATGCTTCGGCGAGGTGGCTCGGTGTGGCGCGCGATCTTCTCCACGCCGTCGGCGCCGATGCATCGGTGATGCATCGGTGATGCATCGGTGATGCATCGGCGACGCCGTGCGATCCTCCGACCCCGTTTGCTCGGACCCCATTTGGAGGCCTCTGCTGTGCTCACCGTATCGCGCTGGCGTCTCCAGAGGCGTCGCCCATCCTCGGCCCGCAACTGGTGACGGTGCGCAGCTCTTCGGCGTCCTCGGCCGAAGAGCTGTGCACCGCACCCTGCTGAGGAGGAGGGGGAGGAGGAGGAGGAGGAGGAGGCTCCAGACGCGGTGCGGTGCATGGGCGCCGCCGTCCTCGGAAAAGGACTCCCTGGGCGAGGCGCACGTGGAGGCGATGAAGGGGATCCTGCGCTCCGTGCGCCGCGCGGACTTCGAGGGCGCCGGCATACTGACGACCATCGCCAACGTGGTCTTCGGGGGCAACCCTCCTCCTCCTCCTCCTGCTCCTCCTCCTGCTCCTGCTCCTGCTCCTGCTCCTCCTCCTCCTCCTCCTCCTCCCTCCTCCTCTCCTCCTCCTCCTCCTCCTCCTCCTCCTCCTCCTCCTCCTCCTCCTCCTCCTCCTCCCTGTGAGAGGGGCTGCATCGACCCCCAATCGCACATTGATCGGCGATAGGGGCCCGATCGCCCCAACCTGCCCAGGAAGGTGCGGAGCCACTATCGGAGGCCCGTCGCCGATCTATCGGCGATGCATCGCCGATTCCAGGTCGATGCATCCCCCCTCTGTGCCAGTCCCCCCCTATCGTTGCCCCCCTCAGGTCTTCCCCCTCTACGCCCTGGCCTCGGCCTCGCTGAGGATCCCGGCCCTGAAGGCCCTGGTGGCGGAGCTCGCGGAGCAGCAGGCTCGGCGCGGCCACGAGGTGACGAGCACGGCCGCCGCCGTGAAGGACCTCGAGATCAGGCGGCGCGCCCCGGGGGATGGCCCGCGCCATTTGGCCCTTGAGCTGATGGGCCCATGCTCCCCCACCGCTGCCATAGGTTGCGCGGGGGAGAAGGGAGGATGGGGAGGTCCTCCTCCTCCGCCTCCTCCGCCTCCTCCGCCTCCTCCTTCTCCTCCTCCCCTTAGAGGGTGACGATCTCCTGTGTGCTCTATGCAAGGGCGCACCCGACACGATCCAGCATATATTGTATCAGTACCCTGTCGTCGAAGATCTGAGATTGGAGATCGTCGATCCTAGTTTCGTTCAGCGAGCCTTGGAGGTCCGTCCTGATCAGGCTGAGTTCCAGCTGTACGCCAAGGCCTGCTTCCCGCACCCAGGTGACACACTGCCGCCGCCAGCTAAGGAGTCCCCTATTTCAGTTTCTTGGGTTGGTTCCTCCTCGACCTGTACTGAGATTTCAGGGCACGTGTTTTTTGATGGGTCCCAGACCAAGTATGACATTCCTGAATTAAACAGGGCTGGTTGGGGGTTGGCGGTTTTCAATGACGATTTTGAACATGTCTGTTCTATGTTGTGCCCGATATGGGCCGATTTGCCCCAAACGTCCCAGACCGGGGAGTTTGGCGCCTACGGTGCCGCGAATGAGTTTTTGGTGGGCCCATCAGTGGGCTATCGTGATTGCAGTAACGTAGTCAAGCAGTTTGCTCAGCCTCCTGTTCGACAGACTCATTATAAACGACCATATGCTGGCATGTTTCTCAAGAGGCGATCCCTCTTTACTCGTGTTGAGAAGGTTCGTGCGCATGTCTTGGACAGCGACGGACTCACATACTAAGAACGCTTCTGTAAAAGAGGGAATGACGCTGCCGATCAGGCCGCCGAACAAGGAGCGGCGTCACACCCTCAGCCCACACCCAATGAGCTGCAGGAGGTCGAACGCCTCACGTCTACAGCTCGGAATGTGTGTAAGTTAGCTTATACTCTATTGCCCCTCTGGCCAAAGCTTGACCTGACAGACGTTCCCTGGATCTGCAAGTCAGAGCCTGCTGCTAAGGAGGAGGCTAATTCAGTTGCCCACCAGTGGCGTTGGTGCCGAACTTCTGGCGTTGCCAGGCCTGTTTGAAGTTCAAGCGACAGCAGGTTCGGCCTCCTGCTGGCAACTGTTCTGGCAAGCTGCCTTCTGTTGCCCTCGGCTTCCACGAACGCGGTCATCGTGTGATTGGCCTGGAGTGCTCGAATGACACCATCATGTATTTGTGCCTTCATTGCTATGGGTACACTTGTGCAGGCGAATTCAAGAAAATTGGGGCTGAGTGCAAGCCAGAGGCCAAAGGTTCCCTGAGTGAGCGGACTTCACCCCAAGCTCTCAGGTGTAACACGCGAAGCTTTTCAGCCTGACGATTTGGAGCAGGAAGCGGAAGGCCAGCCCATATATCCTATCGTCGAGCCGTCGGTTGAGTCGGGTGGGGTGGACCGTCTTGTGTCGATGGCTGTGCCTGATCCGCATCCTGCTCTGAGTTCCCCCCCCCCCAGGTCCCGAGGCCAGTCGAAGCGTCATCGGGGTCTGCTTTTTGGGGGCGGAGTGCCGTTTTTTCAGACCCCTTTGAAGGTGAGGAGGAGGCCGCTCGGCCTCTACTCGACCCACATGCCAGGCCCTCTCCCGCCAACGAGTTGGATAGGAACCAACGCGGGCAGCTGATTGCAATGCAGGAGCCTTTTCCCGAGGAGGTTGTGGCTCCACTGGTGCAGGCGGCTGCTCGCGTAAGGGATTCAGAGTCTAGCGACTCTGACTGACTGGTCCTGGTGTCGCCGTCCACAGCGTCGGCCACCGCCCAGGTCTTTCTGTGCCAGACAAACTGGCCTTTCCCCTAGTGGCACCTCCAGGGCACGGTGCGATACACATATATAAATATATATATATATATATATATTATATAATATATTATATATATAATTTTTTAAGTACATACAATCCTATCTCCTCCTCCTCCTCCCTGCTTCTCCTTGCTCCTTGTCCTTCTCCTTCTCCTTCTCCTCCTCCCCCCCTCCCTTCCTCTACTCCTCATCCTCCTCCTCCCCCTCCTCCTCCTCCTCCTCCTCCTCCCCTTCCTCCCCCTCCTCCTCCTGCCCCTTCCTCCTCCTCCTGCTCCTCCTCCTCCTCCTACTCTTCTCCTCCTCCTCCTCCTCCTCCTCCTCCTCCTCCTCTCCCGCCCCTCCCCCTCCCCTCCTCCTCCTCCGTCTCCTCCTCCTCCTCCCTCCTCCCCCTCCACCCTCCTCCTCTCCTCCTCCTCGCCTCATCCTCCTCCTCCTCATCCCCTTTCCTCCTCCTCCTCCTCCTCCTCCTTCTCCTCCCCCTTCCTAGCTATATGGTAGATTCGGCCCATCATGAGCGGCGGAGGCTGGCTGGGGGGCCCCGCGGAGGCTGAGCAGCGGCGGGTTCGCTGGCGGCAGGCCGGCGGACGGCGGCGGAGGTAGAAGCGAGGCGGCAACATTGTTGGGCCCGTGGACTTCTCAGGGGCAACGAGGTAGGGGGCGAGAATATCGAAGAACAACAAACCACATAATCATAAACTTTTGGCGCTCCGCGCGGACCAATTTTTCGTATCTCAGGGCTGCCCAGCGCTGTCCATGGTTTTCGTTCTCGGAGCTCGAGCATATAGCTGGGCGGATGTTGCGGGCTGGATTGCCTGATGGGAAGGATACCCATCGGTCGTTAAAGTGCGATGCTTTTCGATCCCCATATTCCAACACGCTTTAGGCGCCTTCCTACTTCAGGTGTCGACCGAGTTTCCCTCTCTCCCCTCCTCTTCGGTGGGCGAGCGAACAACCGAATCTGCCCTCGACCCCTTCCTGCTGAATGTTTCTGCGGACGTCTTCCGACCGGTGGGCAGTCACCGATCCTGTGCTTGCAGAACCCCGTCTTGGAGAGACCCACGGGCCGGACGAAAGGGGGGGACTGAGAAAGGGGGGGTTACGAAACTTGCTGCATGCAGCTGGTTTCGGCCCCGCCGAGGGGCCCCTTCCTCGATGCATGGGCGCCTCCCGGCGCCGGGCGGCGCCGGGAAAATCAGCTACGTGAGCTGATTCTCAAACCCTCCCTTTGCTATCCCCCCCCTTTCGCCCGACCCGACTTTCGAGCCGTTCCTTTAGATGCCGAGGTCGGGGAAGCTAGCTGTTCGTGTCCGAGGCTCGCCGTTCCTAGAAGGGCCCTTTCGTTCCTGATTCGGAGCTGCTTGTCCGAGTAAGGGATCGACTACATAATTGCTTTGCCCCAAACTCGATTTCCCGTCGAACCTACGAACAAATACGGACGTCTTCCGACCGATGGGCAGTCACCGATCCTGTGCTTGCAGCAACCCGTCTTGGAGAGACCCGTTGCCGGGAGATCGGCAGGTGGCACGAGCAGCGCCGCAGCCTGGACGGGCTGTACGCCGAGTTCTTGCGGCAGCAGGAGGCCGCGCACGCCGCGCAGGACCGCGCGCTGCGCACCGAGGGGCTCCTGAGGGAGCTGGCCCCGGACTGGCAGCGCTGGCAGCGGGAGCTGGACGAGGCTCGAGGAGAAGCTTCGACACCGTCCAGCCCGTCCCCGTGCCCACTGGGCCATGGCATCCAAGCCACACCACCCCACTCTGAATGGGGGCTGTCCTCGCGAAGCCGGGACCTGGCATCGCTCGGACGTGTGCATTTTTTTCTCGGGGAGGACCGTTGAGGAACATCCTGGATCATCGAGCGACAAAAACCACGCACGGAACAGAACCATGCACGGGAAATGGACGTCCGAGCGACGGCAAGGAGGAGAAATTTCAGCATCGTCCAACCCGTCCCCGTGCCCACCTTGGGCCATGGCATCCCAGCCACACCACCCCAGCCTCCCGAAGGGGGGCCGTCCCCGCGAAGCCGGGAGGAACACAGGCGCAGGTCCCCACATTCGGTGGGCGAGCCAGAGAGGGGGGCCAAGGCCACGCCAGGGGGGACACGGAGCGTTCGGTGGTCTGCGAGGATTTCGCGGATGGGCGCCAGGCCTCCCTGGCGGTGCCTGCGGTGCCGCCCCCGGGGCGCGCTCCGCGCGCCAGGGGCGGGGGGCCCAGCGCCGACGCGAGCAGTCTGCGCAGACTCTGGGAGTTTATCTTTTGCTTTGATTTCTCTGGAAGAGCGCGCCATTATGATGGTTTGTCTTTGTGTCTCATGTTGGCTTCTCTTCACATTACCCCCCCCCCTTCATTCCAAAAGGGTGGGGTGCCCTCCCTCTGGGAGGTTGGGGCCCCCTGTGCAAGGGCGGGGCTTCGGGAGCTGCCCGATCCCTCCACTCCTTTCCGAAGCAAGGGTAAGCAGGGGCTCCCCTTTGCAGGTGGTGGGGGGCTTTGGAAGTTCCCCCCACTGCTGTAAAGGAGGGGTGCTCGGAAGTCTAGACCCCCCTCCTCCTTCAGGCTTCCGGGGTGGGCCAGGGCTCCCGTTTCGAAGTGGGTCTTCAGAAGTTCCCCCTCCCTCCCTTTGCGAATCAAGGGGTCGCTGGTCAAGGGGGGGGGCCGCTTCGGAAGCTACCTCCCCCTCCCCCCCCCCTTTTCGGGGCTGGGGGTGCGCCCGGGCTCCCCTTTTGAAGGGGGCGGCGCTTCGGAAGCTGCCCCCCCTTACCTTTGTGGATCTGCGCCACCACGTCTCGTCGTCGTCGCTGTCGTTTTCGTCGTCGTATATGCCGTCCTCCTCGTCGTCGTCGTCGTCGTCGTCGTCGTCGCCGTCATTGTCGTCATTGTCGTTGTCGTCATGCAGGCTGGCAGGTTCGCATGTGGCGGGTAGAGAATACATAGCAGTAGTTGTTCCATCGCCGTTGCCATGTGACGGGTTGACGTGATTCCTACTTGTTTCCGCCCTCTGCGTTGCCACGCGGAATGTATTGTATAATTGCATGTTTTACCACCTGCAGTCGTTGCCACGTGGCGAACGTTGGAAGAGATGGTTTTCGTTTCTTTTGTCGCAGCGCTTTTTGACGAATCGTCAACTTTCGATTGTCACCGTATACGTCTATATATATGTACATATATATATATAT